ATGGATAAGAGCAAAATACCAGTAGTTTTCCTTTTGGCTTAAAATGACATTTTCTGAGATGTTATTAAATTATCTTCACATTAATAAACTTAAGGAGTACTTAAACATTTTAAACTAAGACATACTCAGATCAGGAAGAGCAATCAAATTATGTTTAAATGTAAAGCATATCCATGGAAAATACTACATGAATATGTTTAATATACATTATAGCCAGAAGACCCCAACCGAAGTCAGAAAAGTAATACAAGTAATGATTCACTTTACTTTTAGGGACAGAACCTGTTCCCCTGAAATGTATTTAGATACTAAAAAAGGAATCTCAAATCCAGGAAATTCAGTCATGATTTTTGTCGAGGTTATAAATTGGTGCCAGGGAATGAAAATGGACTTTCATCGTGTTGAGTCATTTAACTGCCTTTTTTTTTTCCCCTGCCTTTCAAGCAGGTAAATGATATAGTTCTAATCAGCCATAATTCATTAATAGTAGAATTATCTTATTTAAGGCACATAATCTATAAATGAGTCTGCTGCGTGTTCATGGGTAAAATTTTAAGTTTTGTTTGAAAGGAAACTCAGGAACACTGAGGCCTACTCACTGTCTTGCTGTGAGAAACAGAAAACCTTTAGAGTATAAATGATTTCATTATCTTAGATAAATAATCCTCTACTGTCATATAGGTTGTAATGAAAAGGACCAAGGAAACAGACAGGATGTTTCTTATCCTTTACCCCTATTTACAAAAGGGAATAGAGTGGACACTCTGGAAATCATCTTGGAGGACAGAGCCTATATTGTGGAGACAATATCTTAAGATTTCTTTTGACAGTGAATTCTTTTTTTTAGCTAACAGAATGCCAATCTAGTCTTAACAGTAACCATTGAATGAGTTGAAAGGAGTCCAGTCCTCTGGTGTAATAAATACAAAGCAGTATGCCCTATAGTCTCTTTCTTGTTGTGCTCTGTGAGGAGAAAAAACTCACTTACACAAGAGTGAAGAACGTGTAGGTGCTATGCTAAACAGCCTGGGACCATCTTCTATTTAAAAGGCGATAGCTCCTTGGAGGTGGTCAATGTTTTTGACATAGAGCATCTATGGATGTGATAGACACGTCATGAATTCCCTTCCCCTGACTTTCAAAAATATTTAACTCGGAGAGAGCCTTTTGTTTGAAGGAAGGAAACCTGAGTGAAAAAGTTCCTTCAACTTGGAAACAGGAAGATATTAATGGTTAAAAAAATTTACTTATTGTTTTAAATCCCCTTGCAGCCATTTGCTCGGTTGAACTTCCCACTGAAAAGCTTTGTAAATGCAGCTCTATCCATGACGGAAGAGAAGGGGACGGAGCACCCCGTGTGTCACAGCGACCGCCTGAAATACTGCCATCCTGTAACAGGGTTTTATTTAGTTATTACAACTATCTCTCTGTAAATGACAGTTAGGATTATTTAAGATTATGTTGTAATCCTTTTAATCCTCAGTGCTTTAAATTTCAGGCTAAACACCAAAGAGCAAACTAGCACTTAGCAGGAATGTTTAAAACATGTGATTTGAACATAAATCTTTTTATTCACTCTTTCCCTGATGAAGACCTCGCGCTGCTCTTAAGTTAACTAAGAAAACTTGTACCAGAGTTCATTACAAATCACTCGGTTGCTAAATGCTTTCTCGAGCTACATCAAACTTGTGATGGTCCTTGACAATTATGCTAAATGCAGAATTAAACGAAGGTTAGCAGCAATGAACATTTACGGATATAACTTAGAATTTGCGTGACCTTTTATAAGTACAACGTGTCTTTCTGGGTTTGTGTGTACGTGTATGGAAATGGTCGTTCTATTTCCTAAGGCGAGCTATTAGACGCGGGTACACACATGGACACACATACATTATATCACAATCATACATTTGAAACACATACTAGGACTTGCCTATACGTACTTTATTATAGAAGCTCCTAATGATTTAAACAATAAATAAATCATTTATTATTAAGAAGTACCAATTAGGCCAAAGAGTTTTCTGTTATAAAACAGGCAGATGTTCTGGAACTCAGTCAGCGAGCATCATTCTGACTTACTGAGAGTTGTTGAATACCAAACCTTAAAACTTAATTCATATTGTCACTGTTATGTTACCACGTACCAATCAAGTAAGATTGAATCTACATCAAGAGTTTAGTAAGGCTTTGACTATGAAGGAAATTTGGCTTTTAATACAAAAAGAAAATGAACACCTTAAATGCCCCAGTGGCATATACAAATGAACAAGACAAATGAAATCCTTCCATCTTTGTGTGTGTCACAGATGTGTGCTTCTGAGTCTTCCAGGCGCATGATTTTTTATTTGTTTTCCTATTCGTGTTAAGTTCGACTTCTTTACAGACGCTGTAATTATGTGGTGTATAATTGCTAATCCATCAACTTTTTAAAGACAGATTTCAAATTTTAAATTATTTCTAATTTTGCTCTTCTTTGATTTTTCTTGAACCAAAAATCTCAATAGTCATTTGCTATCTGTAATCTATAATTCATAGACTGAGATTGAACACCAAGCCTAATTCAAACTTGGAATTTTAAAGCTATTTCTGATGTAGCACATCAGCTGAAGCTATGATGGTCTTTTTCAGTCAGGAAGAAACACTTCATTATTCTGTAGGTAATGAAACCCTTGTACACACACACTCAAACACCCAACAATGCTTTAATACCATGTTTTTGAGATATAATCATGTTTATTCTGACCATTTGAGAGTTAGACCAGCTAATGTATCTAATCAAATATTGATGCAAGTCATCTAGATTTAGCTCTCTGGCAAATCCTTTCCTATGCTTTTTTGTTAACAGAACTATAAAAGCTATTTATATTGTTCCTCTCAAAGGGTTTACCCTTGTAGTCTGTATCTATGGAAATGTGTTAGTAAATTTTACCTAAGTTCATGTGTTTGGGTAATGAAAAGATGTCAGCATGACAAGAAAACCACATGATTCACCCCCAAAAAGAATGAAGCAGGAATGAAATTGGAATCTTTCTTTAGCTTTGTTATTCACAGCATCCTTATAATCACTTCTTTCCTGTTTCTCTAAACTACAAGGGTACAAGACAAAAAGAGTTAAGCTGAATATAAGAACACTGATGTCCCATAAACTACTTAGGTACCTTACAAACAAAAGTAGCTGGCAGAGCTACTCCAAAAAGCTACCAAAAGTGAGAATAGTTGGTTTTTTTTTTTAAATATCTTTGGAAGTACCTATATTCAGAAATATAAAAAACAAGGAAAAATTATAGCAGGAGGCAGTCAGTCATATAAGGAAAGGTCAATCTCATATCATTAATATATATCATCATACATATCATCAATGCAGGTGGCTTAAATATAAATCTATGTATATTATGTTCAAAGCTATGTAAAATTATGCATAAATATTCTTCTTCCATATCTGCAGTCCTATATACATTGTATGTATTTGACTATCCTCCTCATTTTTTATCTAACTTGACTTTTCAAAAGACTAACAGAGGGAACAGAAAAAGGCTACCTTAGACCAACTCCAAGAGTTTCTATTGTCCAAGAATTATGTCAATGTCAATTTTAATGTCTTTATTTTATGACATGGGGACAAGGATGCTAAACTCATAATGCATAATATAACAACACCACTTAACTCACCCAACCTAGTTCAGAACTATTCATACTGGTCATCCAGGTTATCATAAAAGCTAGGAATATGACCTCTAATTTTTTTTTATTTATTGCAGAATAACAAAAAAGAGTAAGAAATTGGGAGGCAGGCTATGTCACTGATTTACAATTCCTCTCTTCAAAACAAAATTTATTTTTCTTTTCTTGATTCTGTAAATTCAGATTCTAATCACTTTTGGCTATATTTCGTCCTTTGATTTCTAGGCAAGTATGTTTAATTTTCTTTATTTTTTTCTTCTTTCTTTCTCTCTTTTGGTAAAAAGAAATAAATCTCCAGCATATAAAAAATGAATGCCTGAATAGAATAAAAGCAGGACCAGAAAAATAAGTTATTCTAGAAATGTTAACGTGGGTCTGGTTTATTTGGTAGACCTGGATTAGCATCTGGGAAATGCAGAACTGGAGACCAGTTCTTTTCTCCCCAGGGAGAGCTCAGATAGGAAATGTCACCCATCTACACTTCTATAAGACCCAATATATTAATTTCACTGATGCATTTAAGAATGGAATCGACCTTTTTTCAAGAGCCAAAATGGTCTTAGGAGCCATTTAATATAGTAATTATAATAATCTAGTTCCTGGCTACTAAATGATATAAATCCTAAAATATACCTAGAAAATTATTGGTTACTTTGGAAATATAAAAGTGAGTTAAATCTCACATAAAGATAGAAAAAGATAAACCTCCATAATTTAAAGTTATTAATTGCCAAAGGGATCTTAGTAACATCATATATGAAATATTCAGTTTTCTCATTTCCTTTCTTTCAAGGATCTCATCTGGTTCTTTTCATTCAATGGAACATGATTGAAATTATTAATCATAGTTATTTTTTCCCAAAAATTAAATTATGCAATACAAAAATATCCAATTTCTATAGCTTTTCAGCTCTTTCCATCCCCCTAAGTTACACTGGTAAATGTAATGTATGACTAGGGGCAGGAATGGAAATGAATGCAAAAAGTTTATATCTGAAAGTTCCGCAATAAATCTATTCAAGTCAAGCACTCTAGGTTTGAACCCCAAATAGCTATCAAATATAATGCAACACTCAATGACTTTGAGTGTAGAATTAGTCAAGACACAAACATATATTTCCTATTTAGATAGCAACCAGTAACCAAGGAAAAGCCACAAAATGAACTAAAATTCAACAAGGAGGCTAAATCAGTTTTTCACAGTGACCTTCGAACAACTTGTTCATGCACATGAAAACATCACAACAAAGAAGTATATGTTGAGAGCTCACATTTAGAAGTAATAGGAATAAATTTAATATATGTAACATTCTTACCTGAAAGACATTCTTTCGGCTTGATTTTTCCTTGGCCCATTCAATATGTGCTCCACACAAATCCACACTTTCTGGTTTGTGCCCAGTTTTCTGTAAACAAAATTGAAATAAGAATAAAAAGCATACATCATTGGTGATGCATGTCAGGAAAAACAAAAGTTTATTGAGTTAGCGGCTTTACATATTTATAGCATAAAGCCTTTCTTTTTCTTTTTCTTTATTTTTTTTTTTTCAGTTTCAAAGAGATATCTGCACCCTCATGATCATTGCGGCATTACTTACAATAGCCAAGACATGGCAACACCTAAGTGTCTGTTGCCAGAAGAATGGATAAAGAAAATGACATGTAGATACAAATATAGATACAGATATAAATATCGATCCACATGGAAAAATTATTCAGCCATAAAAAAGAAGGAAATCCTTCTATCTGTGACAATATGGATGAACCTTAAGGGTGTTATGCTAAGTGAAGTCAGTCAAACAGAAGAAGACAAATACTGCATGATCTCACTTACATGTGGAATCTAAAAAAGTCAAACTCCTAGAAACAGAGAGTGGTTACCAGGGGCTGGGGAAATAGGGAGATGTCGGTTAAAGGTACAAACTTTTAGGGGGTGCCTGGCTGGCTCAGTCAGTTAAGCACCCGACTTTTGGTTTTGGCTCAGGTTGCGATCACATGGTTGTGGTATCGAGCCCCACGTCAGACTCCGCACTCAGCGTGGAGTCTGCTTGAGATTTTCTCTATCCCTCTGCCTCTGCCCTTCCTCCCGCTCGTGCTTTCTTTCGCTCTCAAAATAAATAAATAAAATCTTAAAAAAAAGAAGGTACAGACTTTTAGTTAGAAGATGAATAAGTTCTCTGAATCATTGCACAGCATGGTAACAATAGTCAACACTACTGTATAATTGAAAGTTGCTAGGAGAGTAGATTTTAAACATTCTCACCACACACACACACACACACACACACACACACACAGGTAACTATGCGATGTAGTAGATGTGTAAACTAATATTAACGTGGTAATCACTTCACGATATTTACATATATCACGTCATCACTCAGTACACCTTAAACTTACACAGTGTTGTCATTTATATCTCCATAAACCAGAAGAAAACCCCAAATTTAATAAATGTTTATTAGGTGCCAACTGTGCACCTTTTGGAAGTTCATTTTTCAGACTTTTAAGACGATACATGTGAGTATATGTATATTTGTATTTAATGAATTTAATTTAGACCAAATAGATTATAGCATGGGCCTCCTTTTGCATGAAACAATGTGGATGTTACCTAAAAGCTTCAGTAATTCATAATAATTAACGGGGATATTATCTATATTTGTTCCTTCATATTTTATTTTATTTTTTTAAAGATTTTTATTTATTTATTTGAGAGAGAGCACAAGCAGGGAGAGGGGAAAGCAGGCTACCTGATGAGCAGGGGGCCCTACACGGGGCTCAATCGCAGGATCCTGGGATCATGACCTGAGCCAAAGGCAGATGCTTAACTGACTGAGCCACCCGGACACCCCAATTCTTCATATTTTAATTTGATTCAAGTGTATCACATTTATATAACTTTAAATTTCCAGAACTCAGTACATTAAACAAAAGCTCACTTGTTTGGGAAATTTCTTTATTTTCAAAGGAAGTAATGCCATATTTCAAAAACTCCAACTATTTTCAGATGTTCTGAGCTACTCTAGTTTTCTCTATAAATTATTTTTCTCAAACAATTTTTCCATAGAATAGTTTAAACTTTTAGTACAAGAGGCATATAATATTTTAGACAATATTTTAACAGTATGAACTTTACTTTAAAACCAAATTTTGGGGGCTCCTGGTGGCTCAGTCGGTTAGGTGAGCTGACTCTTGATTTTTGGCTCAGGTCATGATTTTGGGGTCATGGGATCGAGCAGCACATCGGGCACCTCACTAGGTGGGGAGTCTATTGGGGATTCTCTCTCTCCCTCTGCCCCTCCCCCCCACTCCCACCCCCTCTCTCAAATAAATAAATAAATCTTTAAAAAAAATAAAACATGAAATTATGGAAGAATGGCAAAGATGCTATAAGAAATCTGTTCACAATTGTTGCCTCATAGCCAGTATGTCCAGTTCTATCAGTTTAATAGAAATAGACTATTTCTTCAGAAAGGCCAGAAATATGGGGGATTTACAGTAAATTGTGAGTTGTTTTTTGTTTTTTTTCTTCTTGGCAACTAAATAAAATTTTCTTGGGACAGGAAACATTGTATAAGCCAAGCATAACTTCCCTTCAGGATAAATTCAGCTGTCAGGACAGCCATGGAGAGCATATCTTTTCTCTGTTATCTGGTAGTAATCTCATGAGAAGCCAATCAAGATGAGGATGCCTCTTACAGATGCTCCAGCCAGTGAAATATTTTTACGGGTTCACTCGTACTCTGCCACCCAGGTGATCACTATTGTGGAAGACCTCAAAGCATGATAACGATGTTCATTGTCGAGTGATTTATGATGCAGAAAAATTAAAACAACCTGCTTCTTCTACAGTTAATTAGATTATGGGATACTCAGAATCAACAGAAATAATCATTAAGAGTATGTAACAAAAGAGATGATCTTTCCCATATAATGCAGTACAGGAAAAAAAAAAAGATGGGATTATTTTATAGAAGAAGCACTTTTAATGTGCCAAGCACTTTTCTGTTTTACAACTATCAATTCACTTAATTCTTTTAACAACTGTATTAGGTAGGTACTATTATTAACACCATGTTACAGGTAATAATATGCTAGAATATTTAGGTATACTTTCCCAAGGTAACACAGGTAGAAAAGGAGGAGCCCGGATTAAATGAGGGCAGTGTCACTCCAGAGTCTACTCCTAACCACTGTGCAGTCCTTGAAAATTGAACATTCACTGCTATCACGTTCATGTTTAAACATGTAACATTTTGGGAAAAGATATGACTTTCTTATTAGACCCTAGTGCAGAGATATTGGTCTTGTTTCTGTCCTTCTCTGTTTAACTCGATCTTCCCATTGGGCCTTTACACCACCTGTTTGCCCGGAAAACCTCCCAATCGTCACATGGTTGACTCCTTTTTATCCATCAGGTCCCAGATAAATGTCACCTTGTCAGAGGTCTTTTCTGACTGTCTTATATAAAAGAGAGCTGTCTTCCAGCTTACTCCCTATCTCACTACTTGTTTTAATTTCAATGCAGCCTTCTTCCTAACTGAAATTAACATTTATATTTTTATATGCTGTCTGTTTTTCTCCCACTAAAATTAAGCTCCCTGAGCTGGGGCCTGGTTTGCCTTTTCCTCCACTATCTTTCCCAATGTATGGAACAGTGCCTGGCACAAAGTTGTTGTTCAATGAATATTCGCTGAATTCATAAATGAAGGAAAAATACCAAAATGCAACTAGCTTTTGTGCTTTGGAAGTAAGGTTTGGGCATCTAAAAATTCCCCATGTTACAACAATTACGATTTATATTTGGTTTTGGAAAAGTGAAAAACAGTTTAATGGACTCATGTGGATTGAACCCAGTATTTCACAGAATCATTCAATAGACATTAACTGCACACTTACTATACATCAAGTGTTAGCCATTGTGTTGGGCACTGGGACTCCAGAGGTAAGGAAGATACTCACTCTTCCTTTCAGAATCCCATACCAGCCTCAGACTCTATATATTTTCAGTAGACTTTCTCTCTATGGCAAAAAGAAATCTAAGCTTTTCCAGAGTTCTCACCATCCGGCTCTGCCACACTCTTCTCATCAGCATCATACATTAAATCCCATGGCTTTGGTCCTGGCTTGGATTTTTCTCAGTCTGAACTCTGCCCATCATTCAGTCACCTCCCATGACCCTGACCTTGATTCATGCATTCTTCATGAACCCATGGCTTCACCTCCTCTCCATTTCAGCAATCTTCATTCTGCTTTTCAGCTAACAAATCCCATGTTCTGAGTTTTCATTACTTCCACCCTGTAATGTTGGCTTTTGATGTGACTGGAATCACCAGACCTTTGGTGTACCCCTCCAGGCCCTTCCTGGTTTTACTTCCTTCCACGAACAGGCCTATGTCCCCAGATCAGCAGCCACTTCAATACTCCCCCATCTCTCACTCTCTTGCTTTCCCCCATGCGATGATCCACTCCACACTTTCATCCACTTTTCCTTCTTCTACCATTTTCCTCATATCCCCTAATTCTAGAGAAATAATTTTTGACTACTCAGAGTAGTAACATTACAAATAATGGCCACTTTCTTCAGCTGGGTTTTTAACTCTACTTAGGGGGAAAAAAAAAAAACCAAACCTGTGATAAAGACACTTAACATATCCATGAAATCATTACCAAGACCAATGTCATCAACACTTAGCGAACTTTTTTGTGTGTTCCTAGTCACTTTCTGTTCTTTCTCATAACACCTCTCTCCCAAGCTTCACCCCTTTCCAGTAGCCCATCAAATGGCATTCTCCTAATTTGCAGAGATCATACAGCCCTTGAGCTAGAACTTTCGCCACTCTTTCCACTTTCATAGTCCGTGTAATCAGAATGAACGAACATAAACTTTAATAAATCCCTATATGTCGAGCCCTCTGAAATCTTTATATCGATTTCTCATTTATTCCTTACAACAGTCTTGTGCGGTTGTTACCATTGCCTTCAACTTACAATGTGGAGAAACTCAAGCAGGGAGTGGTTAAGTGCCATACATAAGCTCACGCACTTAATATGTGCCTGAGCTGAGCTAGGAATTCACTGTCCTCTGATTCCAAGTCCCAAGTTCTTAATCACAACACAATACATGACCTCCTCTCCATACCTAGCCTTTCCTCCCACTAGGTCACATGATGAGAATTAACATTTTCTATCTCTTCCTTGTAAGTGTGATCATTTCCCATATTCTGTTCTGGCTCCTGGACATTTGGATCTGAGTCTGTAATTCTGGTCCACCTGTCTAATGAACTCCCATGCCTGGCATGACAGTGACATCTATGAACATCAAAATCTCCTGGCCTGTTGTTGCCAGACAGTGCATGATCCACTCACAAAGCATGTCCTTTTCTGTCTCAGAGGAAGAGAT